GAGAGAGAGAGAACGCGTGAGCAGGAGAGGGACAGAGAGAGAGAGGGAGGCACAGAATCCAAAGCAGATTCCAGGCTCTGAGCTGTCAGCACAGAGCCTGATGCGGGGCTCGAACTCATGAACTGTGAGATCATGACCTGCACCGAAGTCAGACGTTTAACCGACCGAGCCACCCAGGTGCCCCACTCTCTCTCTCTTTTAAAATGTTTTATTTATTTCTGAGAGAGAGAGAGAGAGAGAGAGAGAGAGAGACAGAAAGGGAGAGGGAGGAAGGGGAAGGGGCAGAGAGAGGGTGGGGGACACAGAATCCGAAGCAGGCTCCAGGCTCTGATCTGTTAGCACTCTGAGCTGGAACTCACGGACCAGACCATGAGATCATGACCTGAGCCGAAGCTGGACGCTCATCCAACTGAGCCACCCAGGCGCCCCATCCCACATCATCTCTTAAATTTGTTTTAAAAGCAACTAAGTGTTTAAAACAAAAATGTGACTTCATTCTGGAGTTTATACCTATGTAAAAGTAAAAGTGTATGACAGTAAAGCACAAAGGATGAGAGCAGGGTAAACGGAAGTACAAGTTTTTAAGATTCTTACATCACGTGTTAAGTGACATAATATTAATTCAAGGCAGACTACAGTAACTTAAGGATGGCAATTATTAAAAATAATTTGCTGAAAAGTATTTGATAAAATTCAATATCCACTCACGATGAAAACTAGGAGTAAAAGGGAACTTCTTCAACTTGTTAATGAACATCTACAAACCCCCCCACAGCTTGCATCATAATTCATGGTGAACTTATATTTTAATAAATAATTAACTAATGAACTGAATGTTTTCCCCTGGGTCATTAACAAAGGCAAAGATGTCTGCTTTTACCACGACTATTCAACATAGCTGTGGAAGTTCTAGCCAGTGCAGTAAGGCAAGAAAAGGAAATAAAAGGCATAAAGATTCTAGACAGGAAGAAATAAAACTGTCCCTATATACAAGATAACACACTGACACAGATCTATATGGACAACCCCAAGGAATCTTTGGGACAAAAGTATCCATAGAAGGAAAGTTGATAAATTGTATTTTATCAACATTTAAAACTTTTGGTCTGTGAAAGACCTTGTTTAGTGGCTGAAAAGAGAAACTACAGAATGGGAGAAAATGTTTGCAAACCACAGATCTGACGAAAAAGTAGTATCTAGGATACAAAAAGATTCTCAAAACTCAACAGTAACAAAGCAAACAATCCATTTAGAAAATGAAAAGAGACATTTCAATAAAGAAGTTATACTAAGCACATGAGAAGATGTTCACACCCATTAGCTATTAGAGAAATGAAAACCACACTGAGACGCCACCACAGACTTATCAGAACGGCTAACATCAACAACAGTGGCAACACCAGATGCCGGCTGGGGTGCAGATAAACTGGATCACAAATGTATTGTTGGTGGGCATGTAAAATAGTATAGCTGCTCAGGGAAAGAGTTTGGCAGTTTCTTGAACTAAACATGTCACGGACATATGATACAAACATTATACTCCTTTGTATTTATTCTAGAGATATGAAGACTTCTGTT